GTCGGCGGGTTATGGAAGCTGTATAGTAGACGATGCAGACAACAGCAGTGCTGCCACCCATACCACGACACCTCCCCCCTTCCATTTAAAGGGATGTATCTCTTTAACTCTATGTAACTCCGTTACATACGTAAATCTGGCTCTGTGATTGGGTGGGTTAACTGCATCGGCTCGACATCTAATATGAGAAACTTGCACTGGTAAACATCCAGACACCGCTGGTCGCTGGTAAACATCCAGTGTTGTTCTGCTAGGCCCGCGAGGCTGCAGCGTCAGAAATAATCGGTTCAGTCTGTCTGTACTATTGAAATTAATGGAACAACGAACATTTTGTCAGTTGGCTCACTGGTCTGGCAAACCTCAGCTTTACTTCGGAGCTAGGAGCGAGACTATCTGACTGTAATTTCATTGTTGTCCGATAAGTACTGAGAGCTTTGGGGTTATGGTAAACCTTGAAGGGGTCGTGTGCCAAACACACATTTGTGCAATAACTGGTGTCGTCGATTGACTTTTGCTACAAAAGCTCAACATGACATAATCCAGTTTCATGACTGAGTCCTTTACCTCCCTTCCTTCCTTTTTTTTCTTTCTTTCATTCATCACCCTTCTTTTGATAGAGTAACGAGTAACCCATGCTTGCTGAGTGTGCAAGAATTAATGGCCTTTTGGGACGCTACAAATGTGGAGCAAATGTGATTTGTCGCTGTTTGACAATCGTATCATTTGAGCTAATGTTCGGGCTCAAGTGACACTCCTGGTCACCATCATCAGCTAAAATACAAGGCAACAAGTGATTGTTTGACCAGAATAGCGAGGAAACTTTTTGAGTGATTTCCAGTTGTCCTCACAGGGAGACAGAGGGCTTTAAAACACCAAAACCAAACGCAGTAGGTAGGATTGAAGGTGATAAGCCCATGCCCTCCGGGTTGTGAATTCCACCCCTACATGGCTGACAGTGAGAACTGCTTCGGGTTTTCAACCAGCACTGCCTCAGTCTTTGTACCAAGAGGTGTGGGGGGGGGGCTGTTTTCTGACAACATAACTGCCTTCCGGCTTACTTCCACTGCGCACGGCTTGTTATGTTGCAGATTCAGGGTACCTCACTTCGTTTGTACAGTGGGGACATCTTTGCATGTCTGTTTCGGATTGGGACGGGCAGTGTAGAAGCACAACAAAAGCTAGGTGATCAGTCTAGACTTGTGTGTCACACTCCACTCACCTAGGTCCATTGGGTACTAAGTTGTTGAGTTGTATCCTATGCCAACTCAGTTCATTATAGGGTGCCTTATCTGGGTATCAATGTGATACTTTGGACGGTTTCATGTATGCACTGTACTGTACTACAGTCTATTTGTCCAGTTTCCGTTCAATTTTGAGTTTTCATACACTAGGCCTAGTACTGCAAATGAGTAACATTCTCAGAATTTCAGAAGGAGACAGATTCGATTCAGTTTTGAATGTCAAGTGGCATATGGCTTTGCACTAGTGTTATGCATGACACAGCTGTCCAAATAGGCAAGACCCTCTTTATTTGGCATAAAGGAATTCAACTTCAGGGTAGCATTGAAAATGTACAA